AATACAATGCAGTCATTTAATTAAAATCAATATCAACATAAATATTTGATAAGAAAGATTAACAGGGAAAATGGCATTAAATACAAAAAAACCCCTGCAAACTTGCTTCTTTAAAAGTAGAATCACATACTTATTTGAAGCAGTGTTTATATTTCCATTTTTGATAGGATTTTTTTTAATGATAAACTGAAAACATAATGAATCAGATTTCAAAGGAAATTGATAAATCAGTATGGTGTTTCACTGCCTTGAATTTTTTTTAAATTTATATTTATTGAGAATTTTATATAGAGTAAGAGACAAATCTAAAGGAAAATGGATGGATGGATAAATGGATGGAAAGAAGGAAAAAAGAAAAGAAGGAAGGTTTTGAAGTATGATTTTCAACCTACTTCTCACCAGATATTAACAAATCTATTACTTTCTTCCCTCTTAATTCTTCCAGATATCCTTTCAGTCCCTTATTTAATATTAATTTGTTTCAATTATTAAATTTCCATAAATCACCATTTCACTTTTTATTCTTCTTTTAGCAACATGCCCATAGAAGGATTCCAGTCTTTCAAACAAAGCACTTGTTTTCTCCCTGGCCAGACAAGTCAGTTTTGCCAGTTCCACTAGTTCTGACATTTTTACAATACAGTCCTCCACTGTAGGAACTTTAATACTCTTCCATCTCTGGGCATATGATAATCTTGCTGCTGTTACCAGTCTTGAATTAAAAGCTTCTGTCTTGACTTATTATTCAATGAACAATTTAATATATATTGCTGTTTACTGCACTTTCATTTAGTGGATCCAGATGCAATAGAGAAAATTCAAGTTGGACCTCAATCCTACATATTGGAAAAGTCTGTTGTTTGGGAAAGCAATCTGGACAGTAAGTGATGCTTTTTCTAAAAGAAAATCCAAAATATCTCAATTCATGCTTCCTGTTTGAATTCCAGGGTAGAGAAGGAAGGCACCAGGGAAATGATAAGGTTAGTGAGACACACATGCATCTCATGTTTGAGATCATGATAAGAGAAGGAAGATGGAGAAAATGTACCGTACTACAAAGATTGACAGGGTGAAAGTCAAACTGAGGGTGGTGGCAACAGCAACAGAACCAGAGAGTCCCAAAGCCCAAAGCCACTCAGTCTTGCCATGGTTCAGTTGAAGCCTGTTCTCTTTATAGACCCTCCCAGCCTCCAGCACTAGGATAGGATGTTCACATCACATAATTTGCTAGGAACAGAGATGTACATGATATCTCATCCCATCACAATGGATGAACTCACCCAGCAGTCTCATATAGCTGTTAAATAGGAGAAGGGGAGCACCGACCCCTGCAACACCCCCACATAGTAGGGGCTGAACACAGGATCTCTTCTTCCCAATCATCATCGACTGGAATTGGCCCCAGAGAAAGGAGGTGAATCAGCCCAACCCGTGCTTTCCATCTCCAATTTCTGAGGTTATCCATAAGGATACTATGGTTGATGGTATCAAACTGCTGAGAAGTCAAGCAAAGCAAGAAAGGGATTCACCACCATCTTCCCACCCACACCAGAAATCAGCCAAAAGCACAACTAAAGCAGCTTCTATTCCACACCCAGGTTTGAAACCTAACTAAAAAGGATCCAGATAATCCATTTCATCCAGGGTCCTCTGAATCTATTGTACAACATTACCCAAAAAGTGGAAACTGGATACTGAGTAAAAAAAAAAAAAATCCGATAGCAAGAGGTAATTATAAAACACTGAGTATCAAGGCATAAAGAATAGAATAGAAAAATAGAAAATCGGGATGAAAGTCATAACCTGAAACAATAATAGTTTCTCCAGTAAAACTAATCTATACAAACACACTTGTGTTTTATCATTATCTTCTTTAGTTATGTAAAAATTTCTCATAAACATACTTTCTTCCACCATAATGCTAAAGTCACTTATGCAATAGCAGTAGCAGTAGCACTTAGACTTATATATCACTTCATAGTGCTTTACAGCACTCTCTAAGCCAGAGTTTCCCAAACTTGACAATTTTAAGGCATGTGGACTTCAACTCCCAGAATTCCACAGCCAGCAACTGAGTTGAAGTCCTCATGCCTTAAAATTGTCAAGTTTGGGAAACACTGCTCTAAGCCAACACTCTCTAAGTCAAACTGCTGGCCCACAGGCCAGTTTCATCATACCAAAGCCGCCCCCACCCCATTGTCGGCAATGCAAAAAGAGTTGCGACACGTCGCGACACGTCACATGACATGGCAAATTTGATACCCATGCTCTAAGCGGTTTACAGAGTCAGCATATGCAACTATCCTAAACTGAAGCTGGAAAGCCCAACTTGCCAAATATACATAACTATTTAAAATATGTTGCTGTTATTATGTCTCATAATTAAACAGTTCATTCTTTTTAAAAAAGTTAAATTTGTACTTTAATAGGTCTAACAGTTTGGTTTGATATAAATATGATGGAGAGAAAGCAATTAATGATGCATGATCTCATTATTTATTAAATTCCTGTATTAGAGCAAGATGCCTCAGCAGCATATATTAGAAGCTATTAACGGCAAGTGAATACAAGTGAGCAATTAGAAAACATAACTGTAAAAAAAATATATGAAATTTTGATAAGCTCTTCCCAGAGGTCTTCTCATCTTTGCCTATGCTGGTGCATTTCATTTAATTTACCTGATTGTTAGCTTCCAGTTTGTTCAGCTGGAAATCACAAACAAACACTAATTACTTTGACATCAAAGTCATATTGTCCTTACCACCTCCCCAGACAGCAGGGATAAATTATAAAGGGTAGACATGATAATAACTTGATAAATGATGAGTCACATCACCTCTTTGTCAATCATCCATGAGGGCTCACACAAGATACCACTCAATCTCATTACTAAATCCTAAAACTACAATGACAATACACACCAGGAATTTTATTTCAAACAGCAAGGCACCATGCTGGATACAATCCAACAGATGGCTGATAAATTTTTACAATATTTTACATTTCTCTAAAAATATTCAAACATGAGAGGAAAAGAACATAGTGGAAATCACAAATTACTTGTTGCACAAATATATAACATTTTGCAAATTATGATGTTCAAAATTTTCCAAGTTATATTTTTATTCTTGGAGTTCATCCTATAAAGTGCACTTCATACATTCTATGATATATTCCACAAATGTTATTCCTAGGCTATTGCTATTGAATTTTCTAAAATAAAATGTTCTCTTTCTGACTCAAAATTATTTTGAAACAATTTAAACAAGAACTAAAGCACATTTATGTTCCTTTCATTCTGCTATCCATTATGCTCATATGTTTCTTTCCTTTTGTATATTGTTAGGTCTAAATTATATTTTAGACCAAACTGTTGCATTTCTAGTAATAAGGCTTTCCTAAAACTAAGTTCCACCCCTACTGTGGCAATCCTGATTAAAAGAAGTTTAAATGATCACGCTTCTTCTGTGGTCAGCACCAACCCTCCCCCCCAATATTGCCACTAGTATTTAATTCAAGCCAAGAAAGAACAAATGTTTATTCAAAGCAAATCAAATCAAAGGAATATCATTAGTATTCTTAGAGAAAATATCCCCACTTTTTAGAGAGGGCGGACTACTAAGTTTGTTTGTCACTGCTGTAAAAGAATGGAAGTTGCTTCTTTAATTATTAATTATATTTCATTTTTTATTTTTCTATCTACACTGGTTTTTAAATTTTGATCATATTTTTTATTTTACAACATTCCTTTCTATATGTTCATTTGTTTATGTAAAAATTAAAAAAAATGCAAAAAAGAAAGTTCAACCAAATAATAAAATGTAATCCAAAAAGAAATTCCCACTCAAAATAATTTCTGAAGTAACATATTTCAGCTTCTGAAAAATTGTAACAATCTTAGTGAAATATAATAAGCCCCTGGGAGCATAATAATTAACTGGAAAGCATGCAGTTTTGTTAAATTTACCAATACAGAGCCTTAGTTCATGCAACAATGGGCTGCATTACATTACTTGGCAGACAAAATTTAGCAAGGACTATCATCTATTTATCAATTTGTTAAATATTTATGAAGATTTTATCTATTCACATCAATATTTGGATTTCAAAGTAAACTTGCCACTAATAACATGGACAATTCCTATGCATCCCTTGAATACGCTTGATTTTCAAATATATTACTGTCCTGGTGCATGAAATCTGACTTTAAGATCTAGCTTTTAACTGTACTCTACTTTCTTTAAAAAATGTTTGCTTAAAAAATATCTTTATGTTATTGACTTGGTGGAAAATTCATATGTACAGTAAGTATAAATTATAATGTCCCTAGATAGGACTTTAGGAAGGTCTTGAAGATGCATATAACATCTCTAGTACTACCTGTCTAGTAAACACATGGTAGAGAGTATGTTATATACATATTAACCTCAGAAATTATTTTTCGTAACAGGCTTCCTAAGATGTTGTCTCCTCTCTCAGCTTTCTAAGCTCTCCCGTTCATATCTAGTGTATAACCTGTGTGGGTTTATCGTTTGTATGGTAGCAGTGGCAACATAAAGCACTACTGTATTATTCAATAGCCTGATGGCAATAATTCCACAAGTGGTTTATTTTTTTAAATGTCCTCTCTTACTCTATAATTAGTACATATTGATGTTGAAAATGTGAATGTCTATTATTTCAATATTGTTGAAATGTGGAAATTAGCATTAGCCCTATGAAGAATTCAAAGGTGCATTTAAAGATAAATATAAACTTTCTATCATGATTTGAATCTCCCATCTCATCATATTCTTTGTTAATAGAATTTTGGATATCTCAGCATCCTTTTCAAACTACATTTGTTTAAATAAAAATGACTTATGAAATGATATTTCCTTATGGAGGGATCCTATTAAAATGTAGATTAAAATAATGGCAAATATTCATTGAGTATTTGGATGGCATCAACACAGATAATAATCTAGAAAGTAAAGTTACAACAAATAATGGGTACTTACAGCATTTGAATCCACATCACTGTGTATGGCAACTGTTTTAATTCCCATCTTCTTGCATGTTTTAATTACCTAGTCGGAGTGAGGAGGGGAAAATTGTTTCTTTTAGTTAAATGCTTTAAGTAAAAATCAAAGAACTACAAAATAACTACAATTTTGAGATGTTACTTACCCTACAGACAATTTCTCCTCTGTTTGCAATAAGAATTTTGTCAAAGGTCTAGCGAAGGAATGAGGAAGAAAAAAGTATTCTTCATAAATATAATGTAAACAGAGATACCTACACTTACATTTGGCCTCATTCAATAAATACAAGAGTGTGAAATCTAATCATTAAATATATTAAAAATGATTATTTACAAAATGTGTTATGATTTCATAGAAATAAAACTGACCTAAGAATGGTAAACAGACTTAAAACAAACTTGTGCATTCTCTTTTTTAAAATCTTTATTTATTTAGTTAAGGAGAACAAAAAGAAAAAATTTTAAAAAGGAAAAAGAGGACAAAATTACCAAAATGTATATGAATGTATGTATATGAACAAAAATATTTACACAATAATTTCAGTAATGGATGCCATATTTTGTAATAATCTATACATTACCCATATATGTAAGCAATTAATTTGTAAGTTGCAAGTAACTTCAGGTCATTGCAATTGGGACAATAAATATAGTTTTCCAACACTGAAAGACTAGTCAGTTAACACTAAGAATATAGCAGTTCTATTGTTTGTATATTCTTTTTATAGTCCCAAGAGAACATAAGCCATAATACAGTCCTGTGTCTGTAATAAGACATTAGCAGAGAGATGGATGTCCCTATCATATCTAACCTATGTAAATGCAACACCTTATTAACCAAAATAATCTTCAATCTGTGCATGAATGAAACAACAGAAGCTGATTTTAAATCAATAAATATTAATTCATAGGGAAAAATAAATCTGATTTCATTTAATTTAAACAAATCTTACAAATGAAAATAAATACAGTTAACATACTGTAACTGCAGCCATGAATTAAATGACTTGTCCCTACTGTTGCACTAAAAATTACAGGTCAGAATGATATTTAAAGTCTGAGGAAACTACACTTCTCCTTGAAGTCTTAGGACATATACTTTGGTATAACTCTTTAATGTCCTAAAAAAATAAATATAAGCTATATATCAGAAAACAAGTCCACATAAATAATTACCTTTTCATTTGGATTATAAACTGTTGAGTGAAAGCCACGAGAAGTGATAAGGCACCATCTATATCCTGCGACCTGTACAATATTCTGCAAAGGACAGAAAATAAATGAAATTACTATTAATCACACATCTTGGGAAAATGCTACTTTTTACCAGCTGTATGACAAAATAAGACAAAACAATTCACCAGCTTCTGAAAATGGTTTGTATATCATACAAAAATTAATAAATATTAAATATTTATTAATATTTATTAAATATTAAATAATGGAAATATTGTTTTTAAAAATGCCAGGTATTATAACGAACTTCTACATCAGATTAATGATTAAACATAAAATAATCTCAGAATAACAGAGTTGGAAGGGACCTTGGAAGTCTCCTAGTCCACGCAGGACACATTATACCATTTCAGACAAATGGCTGTCCAATCTCTACTAAAAAAAACCTCCAGTGATGGAGCACCCACAATTTTTGAAGGCAAGCTATTCCACTTTTAATTGTTCTGTCAGGAAGTTTCTCCTTAGTTTCCTCCTTAGTTGCTTCTTTCCTTGATTAGTTTCCACCCTTTGCTTCTTGTCCTGCCTTCAGGAGCTTTGTTTGATTATCTTTTCCAAGATCATCCCAGGTATTGATGTCAGGCTAATTGATCTGTAGTCTCCTAGAATAGATCCATTTATTTCTCTTTTTTAAAGATGGGAACCACATTAGCTCTTTTCCAATGCTCTGGTAGTTCTCCAGTGTTCTATATCTTTGAAACATATGGTTCAATAGTTCCAAGATCACATCTGCCAGCTCCTTCAGAACTCTGGGGTGTAATCCATCTGGTGGTAGACAGATATTCTCTTACCATTTTCTTGCTTATTTTAATTTGTAGTCCTAGTTTGTCTTTTATGGTTCTGTTTTTGGTAGGTTGAACTATTTTTTTCTTTTGCGAGAAGACAGATGCAAAGAAATAATTAAGCAGCTCTGCTTTCTCCTTGCTGTCTGTCACTTCCTTGCCATCTTTTCCCATTAGTGCAGGGATGTCAAACTCAATTTCACTGAGGGCTGCATCAGCATTGCGGTTGCCCTGGGGGGGACAGGTGGGTGTGGCCAGAGTGGGTGCAGCCTACTGGGTGGGCGTGAATGGAATGGGTGTGGCCTACTGGGTGGGCATGGCCAGCTCTACATCGTTCCGTCAAGGGTGTCTGTGGGGGCCTGGGCAGGAGTGGGACAGATCTGAGGGTCTCTGGCAGAAGGGGGTGGGACCGAGGCAAGTGCCAAGGCATGGTCCACTGGGGCAAGTACCAAGATGGCCACCACAAAATTGTACATTGGCTCCCGGCTGGCCTGGGCCAGGACCAAGGAAGCGGGGGCCATTCCCTCACTGTTTCTAGGATGGCTTCCCGGGCCACATGAAACCACTTCGCGGGCTGCATCCGGCCCCCAGGCCTTGTGTTTGACATGTCTGCATTAGTGTATCGTTTCCTTGCCTTTTTTTGTTTTTTACAAGTTGAAAGAAACTTTTTTTTAGTATTTTGTTGCAAGTCTTAGTTCATTCTGAACCGTAGCTTTCCTGACTTCATCTTTGCAGATTTGGGCTCTATACTCCTTAGTTATGTATCCCTCTTTCCATTTTTTATACTTGCCCTTTTTGTCTTTCAATTCATCAGAGAGTTCTTTATGCAATCATGCTGCCTTCTTCTTGGATTTCTTACTTTTCTTTCTAAGTGATATTGTGCTGGGCTTTTATAATCATATTTTTCAGAGTTTCCCAAGCTTCTTGAGTTGTTTTCCCCTTAAGATTTTCATCCATGGAATTCTTCCAAAGCATTTTTTAAGTTTGTTGAAATCAATTCTTTTAAAGCCTAAGACAGTAGTTTGATTTTGTTCTATTGCTTGTGTCTGCGTTATATTGAATTCCAATATGATATGGTCATTATTCCCCAAAGTTCCTGCAACTTCAACCCACTCTAGCATTTCTTCTCTGCTAGTAAAAATTAAGTTCAGAATAGCTGACCCTCTAGTTCCCTTCTCTTCCTTTTGGATGACAAAGTTGTCAGCTAGCTTTGTCAGGACCAGTTTGATCTCCCATTGATACACAATCTTGAAGTGATACCAATACATAATTTTATGGCTAATAATACCATAAAAATCCTATATTTATACAATAAAAATCTAAGTCCAGCAAGGATATTTCCACATTTATTTTATATCCCATGTTTGTTATTTTTATAAATAACTCAGGGCGATGAACATATCTAGTATACTTCCCCTCATAACAACAACCCTGTGAAGTAAGTTGGGCTGAGAGACTGGCCAAAACCACCCAACTGGCTTTCATGGCTAAGGTACTTTCTAGCATTAAATAACATTAAATAAGCGTATAAAAAAGAAAGATGGCTAATGCAAAAAAAAAATTAAATAACAAAACCAACATACCAGGATAAAATGCCAAATATAAAATTACTATGTGCAAAACAGAAGCTTCAACTCTCACTGTACGCATATACACAAACAACAACTTCGTGGCTATTTAAGGAAACCATTAATGTGATGCATCTGACCAAAATTAAATTAGACTACCTTTTTCCTTCAACCAAATTCTTCCTTACCCCACAAAAAAATGAGGCTGTATTAGTCAACTTCAAGTATCCTTTCTCCTTACATCCCTGCATTGGCCTCTTTTAAAGATAAAGGTGGCTAATTATATTATTTAGTTGTATAATATATTAACTTTGTGAAATTTATTAAAATGTTTTATAAATAATATTAAGTTAAGAGGGAGAACACTGACTTCTGACTAGATTTCTGTTAGGAATTTTAAAGGAGTGCAAAAACAGAACAGGGTGTGCTTTCAAGAATAGTTGTTGGGTGTTAGTGAAGACTGGCAGGTCACCCCAAACATCATGGCATGTCACCTTTGACCCATGTCATAGGTTCACCATCACAGTCATAGAAAGTATAATGGAAGGCAACAAGTTAGCCGTTCTATAAGGAGGGAGATTGGAAATATGGTACAGATTCCAATTTCTAGCTCACATACTAAGATCAGGTGACAGGATTCTGATGGCCTCAGGTTAATGCCAGAACTCTGCATAATAAAATTGTATTATGGCTTCCATAACAGAGACCTAAGTGGGTCACAACGATGACACAGTCCTGTCTGAAATCTGCTTGCACCAAAACCCATGGTGCCATGGCAATTATTGTTTATGACATCTTAGTTGCCACCAGAAACTGCCCACAAATGACTGGATGTGACTGCCTATAGCAGTGGTGGCGAACCTATGGCATGCGTGCCAGAGGCGGCACTCAGAGCCCTCTCTGTGGGCATGCATGCCATGCCCCGGAGATGGCAACTGTCCCTCTTCAACCAGCTGCCTGCTAACTTGCCGAGGTCTCACATGGCCGGATGCATCCTGGCACGGCTGGTTTCCCTCTCCCCGTCCCATCCCTCCTGACCTCACATGCTCTCCTTTTCCTGAGCATGACCCACTGCATCACCTCCTCAGCTGTTGGCCAGCCATACAGCTCAGAGGTGGCTTCTTTGAACTGCTGGCAGTGGGCTGTGGAGCCCCAGAGTGCATCAGTCGAGGGACCGGCAGGCTGTGGCTAATGACGAACACCTTCGCCCTCCCATGTGCTTGTTGGCCTGTGTCTGGAGGTCGATGGTGTCAGGCAGCAGCCGCCCCAGCCCGCCTTGTCTCGCCCCGTGGCAATTGGCAGCCCCGCCCTGCCTCACCTCATCCCGCAGGATGAACATCCTGCCTACCGCCCCACCTGCCAGAGACCCCCTGGATCTCCCCCAACCCTGCCCACCCCCCCACAGACGTCCCTCCCCACAAGCAACATTGAGGTGATCACACCCACCTTGGCAACACCCACCCAATCTGCCATGACCACCACACCATGCCCAGCCAGTGAGCCACGCCCACCTGGCACCCGGCGATAAATAAGTGGGTTTTGAGTTGCAGTTTGGGCACTCGTTCTCTAAAAGGTTCGCCATCACTGGCCTATAGGTTGCATGAGCCTTAGGGACAGGATAGAGTTGTTGCTCATAAGCATGTTTATTTCTCTATTCTTGATGTGTCTGAAGAATTGCATTCCACAATTCTGTTCAAGGCTACCTGGTCTCTTTTCGGGAAAAGTTAGGATAAAGTTGTTCCTACAAACTGCTGTGATATGTTTGCAAGGTTTTTGAGGGGAAAAAACACTCAGTGTGGACTCTACTTTGACAGGGATAATGTGGTGCATTGAGTGAGATTTTGAGGGATTATCTGGGATTCGTTTGAATATATTAAGACTGATGAAAAGGTGGCCACTGTGCCCCGTTCTAAAGAACTGCACTCTCAGTCTAGCCAATCTGAACAATTATCAACTAATCCTTAACAAAGGAGGATTCCCATCTTTTTGGCCACTTTGTGCTTAGTAGTGGTTTTGGAAACAAAAACAAAAGCAAATAATAACATTGGATGTTGGTGGCATAGTTCTCTGGAATCACCTTCAAATTCTGGCCCATCGGAATAGCTATCTCACTTTGCAAATCTTCCAAGGAGAAAGTGAAGCATAGGAAAGTTCATGAAATAAACTCTTGAGGCACTTCCCAGAGGGCTCCCTGAAAATTCTCCCTGAAAGTTCCACACTTTTGGTTTATATTGGAAGAAAGATTCTTTGCCTACTTTAGAAGAATGGATATTTAAAGTATCTAGTCTTGCAGAAATGGCAAAAATTTCTGCTTATTTAAAGGATCATACACAAGAAAGATATATTACTGTATGGGGAAGGTGGATAGATTATATTCAGAAAAAGTATGGAATTAAAAAGTTTTATTTATTTTATGAATGAATATCAAATATTATAGAGAATTGTTTTATAAGTTATGGAGTTAAAGGTTAATTATGATATTTTTTTTTCTTTCTCTCTTTTTTTTTTCTTTTTTCTTAATTATTATAATTTTCTTTTTTTTTTCTAACCCTGTATTCTGCTCTGGGAAGTGAAGGGAGGGGGGTGGGGGTGGGAGGGAGGGAGGGTAAGGGGGGGTTCTCTATTCTAAAATTTTATTGTATTTTTATAAATGATTGTATGTTTTAAAAAATAAAAA